CAGAATGCCATAATTTTGAATGAAATCCAAAAAGCTATTAAATAGCACCAATCTGGTAAAGTTGCAGGTTCTAATGCAGGGGTCGGCAACCTACGGCATGCGTGCCAAACACGGCATGCAAGCTGATTCTGAGTGGCACGCTGCCTGCCCACTGAGAGGAGGAGGAAGAGGAGGAGGAGGGGCCGGAAGGCGCTGCGCTGGGGGAAGAAGGGGGGGGAGGGAAGCTTGGCTGCCACAGGACCAAGCTTCTGCCTCCTGCCCCTGCAAGGGAGAGCGGGGGGGGGGTCCCGCCCCCCCACCCTACTCAACCCCCCCCACCCACTGCTCTTCCCTGCGGGGGCAGGAGACAGAAGCTTGGTCCTGCAGCAGCCAAGCTTCCCTCCTCCCCCGCTTCTTCCCCCAGTGTGGTGCATTCTGGCCCCTCTGCCCCTCCCTCTCCCTGCCGGTGATGGCCCTTGCAAGGGGGAGCAGAGCAGAGCTGAGCGGCAGCGTGCTCTCTGCTCCGTAGAGGAGGCAGAGAGAGGTAGGGACGGGCTTTTGGGAAGGGGGTAGAACAGGGCATATCCCTCCCAGCCCCCTGCCATCAGCCGCTCAGGGCAGGGGGCTGGGAGCACCCCCACGAGCCGAGCACCCCAGCCTTCTGCCCTGCACCCCCCACACACACCTCCGGCCCTCTGCCCTGCACCCCCCCACATCCCAACACACACCCTCTGCCCAGCACCCCCACAGCCCCATCCCTCTGCCCTGCACCCCCCACACTCCCTAGTACTCTGCCCTGACCTCCCCCCAACACCCAGCCTTCTGCCCTGCACCTCCACACACACCCCAACCCTCTGCCCTGACCTTGAGTCGCCCCGCTCAGCCCGCTGCAGGCCTAGGTGAACAGAACCCCAGGCTGGAAGCGGGCTGAGCAGGCTGGCAGCGTAAGATCAGCATTTTAATTTAATTTTAAAGGAAGCTTCTTAAACATTTTGAAAACCTTGTTTACTTTCATACAACAATAGTTTAGTTATATAATATAGACTTATAGAGAGAGACCTTCTAAAAAACGTTAACATGTATTACCGGCACGTGAAACCTTAAATTAAAGTGAATAAATGAAGACTCGGCACACCACTTCTGAAAGGTTGCCTACCCCTGTTCTAATGGCTACTCCATCAATTTCTGTAAGAAATTTTCTAATCCCATTGTTCTGTTTACAGAAAATACATAACTACAAACAAACTCTAGCTCTACCACTTACTTTTAACAAGGCTACAATAATTTATTTCACCCAGAAAGTAAAAACTGGAACTGTGTGCCTCTTACCTTCCTCCTTAGCACAAACATGAAGTTCTTGCTAAAGTGTTTACCAACAGAATAGCTCTCTGTTCTCCGCTATTATACATATACAGCAGTCTGATTTTATACATCACTGCGCATCTAGCAACAGTATAGAAAAACTTAAGCATTAGGCACTTCCTAAAAGATTTAGGCTATCGTAAAGCGCTTTGACACATTGGTGTTTCAAACATCTCAAAGAACCTGCCCCAGCAACTGAAAACTGAAAAAGCAGAAAAGTATATTTTTGGTTTGTTTTTCTTCCTTTTCCCCTTTAGCATCTTCCTTCCAATCAGATCTGTAACTGCTTCTATCATGTGCATGATATTAGCTAGGAAGTACAGGTTACTTTCCTACTGCTGATGTGGTGGTTTGGGTATCTAGTCTTTTTCCACTTCTTCAGCGTGCACTGCCTTCACTGGTGTATGAGTGGCACCTGGGATTTTAAGTGCGTCTTGTTCCAAAGACCTAATTAGCTACTTCTGCAAACATTGGGCCTTGTTTTGTCTGTAACCAGAGAGAGGGAATATGTACCCAGAAAGAGGTGCATTTTGTCAAGACTAGTCTACCTTCAAATTTAGTTCTGTCCCATCTCCATGTGAAAAACTTATGAACCAAATTTCTTCAAACATGTCAAAAGTACTTGTCCTCATTGAGGAACAAGCATATGGCATATCTGGAAACCAAATAGTTTTGGGGCTATGCAACACAAGAAAAGGTTGCAAACTGAAGCAAAAAGCAGGAAAACGTAGTTTTTTCCTCACCATTTTATAATTTGGAAAGTGCTGAAGTGACTTTTTAATTTTACCAAAAAATGAATCACTGGGATAAGACTAAGCATAAGAAATTTCAGCCCACAAGGAATATTTGTGAAAGTGACAACAAGCTTAAACCAAGTTTTAGAACAGAATGGCTTTTTCAGCCTTAATTCCGTAGGGGCTATCATTCCTCCATACTACTGCAAGAGAATAGAAATATCGTGATTTGGCACATAAATATCCCATTTGTGTGCACCTTGTCCTGGCCACCCCATAAAAAAGACAAGAAGCACGGATGGTATAATTAGGCCACAACATTATTCACTTACTATATCTGGGAATACCCCATAATAAATTCAACAGTGCAGGTCAGCATTTTTTTTCAGCTATTTAGGCTGGTGTCAGCCTTTCCCAACCTGGGAAACAGGCTGGGGCCCTGCCACCCTCCCCTTATATGAGGGTTAAGGGAGCTGAAAAAAGAGGTAAGTTATCTCCCCACTGTACCAGGGGTTAGGAGACCCAAACCTCTTCCTCCGATTCTTTAGGGGATGCCCTAAATCCCCTTCAAATCCTGTTTATCAGAGAACCATATATCCTCTCTGGAATGAGTATGGCACTGGACACCTGCTAACTATTAAGTTGCAACCATTTGACCTAATTTCCTTCCCTACCCCACTGGGTCCCTGACTTGCTGTGAAGAAGGGGACAAAAACCCACCCCCACTTTTGCCAATCTGAGGGGAAGGGAAAAATTCCTTCCCAACTCCTAAAGAAAAAGGCAACTAGCACAGTGCGGATAGCAGATCACTGGAAAAACAAAATCCTCCTCTGATCGCAGGTCAGAGAGTGCATGTTGCTACCCCATGATTGCTGAGACACAGGGCTTCTCCAGAACTGCTAGAGGTATAAATACCTTCCTTCCATGAGCATCTGAAGGGGTAGTGTCCCCCACCCTGCCTGGCCACTTCCTGTTCTTCCCTGGATCCATTCAAGTAAGTTCTCCTACCCTACGCCCACTGTAACCTAATTGCAGAGAGG